CTTTCAATTTCATTTGGTTTCGTGTAATTTGTGTTAATTGTCAAAATTTTGCATATTATGTCTTGTTTGTAATTGGTAGTTTCGTGTGTGAGATGAAATTTAGGGAAATCTTCCATATTATGTCTCGATTGTTATGGTCGAAATTAATTTTACATACGCTCAATGAGTGTGAAAGTTTTGCATCCGGTTTTGCTATGAAGCCAACATTTGACTCCATAGTGGAGTCAACCTTCTATATACAACAAATAAACCTATCATATTCTCATATTATTTAAATAACATTAATTAAATTTTATTAATATAGTAGATTCATTTGTTGTATATAGAAGGCTGACTCCACTATGGAGCTAATTGTTGGCTTCATAGCAAAACCGATTCTGCATATTCATCAATATGCTATTGATAGTGGAGCTAATTGTTGGCTTCATAGCAAAACCGATTCTGCATATTCATCAATATGCTATTGATTTGATTGATGGAGAGAAAATTGGTAATTGTGTCTCCAAACCGAGTTTAGTCGATGCAACCACGAGAACCGCTCTTGAGCTCTGGTGCCTCTGAGCCATTTAGCTATGGTCCCCTTGAACCACTCTTGAGCTCTGGTGCCTCTGAGCCATTTAGCTATGGTCCCCTTGAACCAGGGACGGATCTAGAAATTTTGTTGGGTGTAGGCTTAAAACTATTTTCGAAAGATGGCAAAATGGTTTAAAAAGAAAGCGTAATTTTCATTTTTTAAAATTGATTTATGTAAAAAAATACATTGTGATTTCTAAACTCATAAATATAATTTTAAGTGCTTTATACTCAAAATATTCTACAAACTAAAATTTATTGTCCAATATCTTTTAAGTGCTATAGAACATGAACTTCAGAATATATTTTAGAAATATAAATTAAATTAGAATCATAATGTTGTTACCATATTTAGAAAAATAGATTGGATCGAATTGGTCCTAGCTGAAATCAATCAATTGATCAATTTGGTTCGAACTGGTAAAAAAAGTTCAGAACTGTCCAATTGGATGAATCCAAATTTTTTCATTTTGAATAATAAGTTTTGATAATATATTTCTCAACTAAATAAAAATAGATATTTAAATACTAAATATCTATAAATTATTATAGTGATTAGTTTAGAAATTTGAGATATTTAAAGTAATATATATTTATATACTAATTCAAGTGTTGACTAATGAACTTGTAGCTTGGTTGTTAATTCCTAAATAAATAAATATATATATAAAAAAATGTAATTGAGAAGTGAACTAAAAACAAAATCATATGCACCATGGCTAGATGGGTGGAAACCAAATAAAAGACCGTATGATCACCTTTTATTTTTATTCATCTGCTAGAGTTTTGTTTGCTTATGAGTGACCTATTAAAAACAATTGATTTTACATCTAATAATCTTTTTATCCAAAATTTGAGTGAGGGCCTAGGCCCCCACTGGACTCACTCTACATCCGCCCCTGCCTTGAGCTCTGGTACCTGAGAGTCTTAGCGAAAAACCTTCGACGCTAAATGTAATAAACACTGTGTAATTTGGCATAAAATGCGTTAAGTTATAACCTGGTAATCTTATAAATATAGGAAGGTTATCTTTTTGTCCAAGCAACTTCTTTCTTGTTGTGAAAGAGATCATATCGTATCTTGTTTGCTAGTATAACAAGCCTCTGGATCCTTGATTCTTTAGCGAGATACACTTAAATCCTCACTAGAAATTTATTTCTTTATCTCCACGACTCATAGGTCTTAGGTCGTCACAACAACATCGCGACTCAGCAACCATATGTCCATCCCTATCAGGTCAAAGACACTACATTCGCTTGTACAACGATATACCTTTAGGTCGTAAAGATCTCTCATCCGTCGAGCTCCGTGAGGAGCCCGACTCTTCATTCTTATGTACAGGTCGACTCGTACCCTGAGCTACTATATTGAGCTCCCTGACAAGGTCAAGCCTTGACACGGAGCTGAGGCTCTCTTGAATCGGCTGAGCTAACCACTCAGGCCGGTACACCGAGCTATAAAGGGTATTTTCATGTGTGATTTTACACCATACTTATATAGTATCTAGAGCTTATTCATTGAATTATTGGTGTATAAATTGCATTATTGTGCTATAATTCTATATCTTGTTGGAAAGGTATTACACGTGCTTGTTTTGTAGATATTTTCACATATTTGTAGAGCTTGTGGCTATTGGAGGCACATGGTGAGTAGCTAAGACCCCCGGGATGATGAAAGATTGATGCACGGATGAAAAAAATAGAAGAAACGAGTGAAACAAGCAAGAAAAGGAGTGTGCAGATCTGATATGGGCAGCGACACGGGCATGATGCCCGTGTCAGAGGCCGTGTCACCTCAACGGAGAGATTTCGAAGCCAGGGACCTGACACAGGCTGCGACACAGATGGTGACACGGGCTGAGTGGCCGTGTCGCGCGCGCAGACTATTTTTTATATCTTACCTGTTTTGAAAAGGAGAAGGTTTTTGGACATTATAAAAGGCATATTTACCCTATTTTGAGAGGGAAGAACGTGAGTAACAAGAAGAGGACCCCTAGAACACACAAGAGAAGCAATTGAGAAGCAAAGGAAGATGAACTACGAAGGAATCAAGGAGATTGAGAGATCAATGAGATTCCTAGTTTTTCTTTCTTCGTTCTTTTGAACTTTTATCTATCATTTCGATTTCTAATATGCCTGTGTACTTGAATTCGAACATGAGTGGCTAGTTTATTTGATTCTAGGACTTGGTAATAGATTAATATGTTGGGATTTTGGATGATTTATTTATAATTAATTGTTTTTCTGTTGAACCCTATTCAAATATTTTGTATTATTTCATGTTTAGTACTTGATCAATGCTTTTACATGTTTGACAATATTGTTCATAATTCGAGAGATGAGTTCAATATTAGGTCTTTAATATTTGACACAATTTACTTGCTTGAATCGAGAGATTAGTAGGTCGTTGTGAGGATATTAGATCTTTTAATCTATTTGGAGTTGAATTGCATGTGTTGAGTGGTGACGCTAATATATGTGATTTAATCTACAGTTTTATCGATCTCGAGAAGGAGGATAAGCTAAATATGTGATCATCTTATGGGGTAGATAAAGGAACATTTAGTTGTGATATTTTTTAAGGAACCCAACTGTTTATTGAAACCACAGTCTTAGAATCTATCATTCTCATATATGTTCTTACGTGTTTTTCTAGGTAGTTTCTTGTTTTTGATTTATTATATTTCGATTATATTTTCTTAGTTTAGTTAATCCATCTCCTATTCGATCGTCTAAATAAAGATGACATTATCATAATCTTGTACTTGATATATTAATTATTTGGTCCTTGGGATACGACCTTGCTTGCCACATACTACGAGCGAAGCCGTACACTTGCGGTCGAGCTTTAAAAATATAGGCGAATAGGGTAGTAAATCATTTATTCCCCCAATTCTTGAACGAGCTTTTAGGACTTACGCAACAATATTATATTTCACATTTTCACTCCCCAACATGTTTTATCAGTCTTAAATTCTATTTATTAGTCAATCTGCGGAACTGCGCCTGTAAAAGATACCACAAAACCCTAGAAAGTACCTTTGTTCAGGATTGTTGATCCTCACATGATCAACACTAGCCAAAGACCAACCTTTCAGAACTTGTTGTATCAACTTTTCTCGGTCAATCGGGACCACTGATGTCGTACATGATGTAACGGCCCACCTCCCACCTCAGAGATCGTGCCTCACAACTGCTACACAACTCTTCAATTTTTGGCCTTTACACTTTATATTTTTACAGCACTCTCTACAAAAATATTCTGACGGCTTTAGTATGGCAACCTTAAACAGAATTCCAATCACCACATCATTCGACACTATGGGTATGTTCATTACCTCCGATCCTTCTTCTTTACTGTCTTCTCCGTATTTCTCTTGCATATCTTTGCCCCTCTCTATTTTTCGTTTTATCACGTCTCCAACCTCTATCCCGATGTCGAACTCCGACTAACCCAACTCTTCGACCTCATCTTCTCATCCTTTAGACAAACCATCCGGGAACCTCTATATGGCCCACCTAGACTCAATAGTAGATAGCTATCCCACCCTGCCCGCGCGAACAGCTCCAACAGTAGCCATCCCCTTCGCCCGAAATGAAAAGAACAAATTATCGTAGCCATCCCCTTCACCCGAAATGAAAAGAACAACTCCAACAGTAGCTATCACCTTCGCCCAAAATGAAAAGAACAAATTACCGTGGTGAACGACAAAAAAGCTGAGTTAGTTTCCTACCTGGTAAAACTTATCAAACCAAACTCGTTGACCTTTTATACCAATGACCAAATTACCTACCTCCTTCATGAGTATGAACTTCTTCTGCCTTGGAAATTTCGAGCTTCTAAGGTGTTAAGACCCACGAAGATCTCGGTAAGTACAAGTCACAGGTGGCCTAAAAAATCTCGACTTTAAGCTTTTAAAAAATAGATTTGATCCCCGCATACGTTCTTTTTTGTAAAACTTCTTTTCATGCCACATCTTCTTTCTTTTCTTGTAAGCTCTCAAACTCTCATTGCAAACATCTTGCTCGTCCAACTCATTAAGATTGAAAAGCTTCACCTTGCTCACCAAAGATGTTGATGGACGGATCCGATCAACGGTTAAAATAAAGTACTTTCGAAATGAAAAGATGGAATAAGGGAGAAATACTACAAAAAAAGAAGTTTATTACCTAATTACGAGGTCAGCCTCTGTGAATGAGGTCGACACTTTTGTTACAGTTGGGATTCTTACAAAGTTCACTACAAGTTCTAGAGAGAAAAAGTAGAGAGATGACAGAGTTAGTTGAGATTCAACAACCTAAAATAAATGAAGGGATCTTCTATTTATAGTGGTCTTTAATGTGGCGTTGTTCCTCCACTGT